TCTCTCTCTCTCTCTCTCTCTCTCTCTCACTCTCTCTGTCTGTCGAGGGCGCGTAGCTATATCACGAGTAGTTTAAAATTGACTGCACAGAGGTACTACTTCTATATTTACGCTTTCCGTCTTCGTGTGTACCGCTTGCGAAATAATTAGACACTTGTGGGCTGTGCAATATCTCAACACCGTCCCTCGTTGACCATTGTTTCTCGGCTGCATGACGATCGGTTGGCTTCTTGGCTGAGGTCGTGAATGAATCCAATGTATCTGCTGCTTGCGTACGATGGAAGCATACGCCTTCGTTCTCGTCATGAATGCCTTCTTCCTCCCGCAGTGGCCAAATCCAATGCAATGTTCTCTGTCAGTGCATCTCTCATCCGGACGCAGAACGTATCGGAAGGAGAACGAGCGAAACGAAAAATCCAGATGAAATCAATTTAAGTAAAATGGAAAATAAAAAGATGTAAAAAACATAACATGTATTAGTTTCTTTATAAGTATCAAATTTCTGCACGTCATACGACCGATAGATAATTTAGTTGCATGATTTGTCTAGTTGAAATTTAAATTCCAAACTTCCTTCATAAAAATTAATATTATTTTAAAATCAGCATGTTTGGGAAATTTCAGTTACCTCTTTTCGATCATCTTGTAATTGCTTCCAGAACCATCACGTTGTACACTTTCTGCTTCTGGTTGATCCTTTTCTCTAGACATCCGGTCCAGGTCTGGTGACAAACTGGTCGAATCTTTCCCAAATTCAAGCGAAATTGGTTTGAAAGGGCTCGAAATTTTAAGATTGGTTGCCTCTGCTGAAGCGTGAATTTTGCGTTGATTGCAGTTTGTGCAATGCCTCCTATTCGCCTTGTGCTGAATTAATTCGTGGCGAGTATTTGAAAATTCCAGCGACGGGATGTAAACGCTTTGGCGAGCGATTACAGTACATCATGTTATATTTGCAGGCTTTTTGTTCAATTCCCCTAGAAAAATAAGCATCTATCCAGTCCTTTTATAATATATATAATTTCAAACCTCACGTTAATTCAGAAAACAACATCGACAGCGTTTGCTTGCTGGCAGAAAATACTTTCTTTGGGAAGTGATTCACGAACGCGAGAAATGATGCTGAGGTTCAATGATTTCTTGAGGTTTCCTTGATGTAACTTACCGGCTACCGTGGCGCAGGGCATCAACTAATGCCACTGCAGTGCCTCTGACCGGAAGGTTCTAGGGCTCGATTCCTAACGGTGGGAAGATTTCCGACACTAGCTGGTTAGCAAGGTCGAATTAAGCCGCTGTCTGGGGGTGAATTCTAGTGACCGACTGTTCTGATCTGTAGTTTTCCATGGTTTCTCCGACCAACTCCAAGAGAATGCCTCAGCGGTGCTCTAACAATCGGCCCATGGACCGAGTGCGATGGCCCATGGACCGAGTTCTTCCAATGCCTTGTCCTATGCTCTCCCTTACACACACTTGCAGGCACTACACTACCATTCATGTCGTGAGCTAATAGGTCGTCTCGGCTGGAGGTGTTCCCCGCTGGTGGTGGATAAGAAAAACGCTGCAAACCGACGGGGGTGTAGGTCGGCGCCGGATCTCACCATCCCACTATGGTTTCCGAGACCCGTGGCCAAAATTGATGATTATAAATTGTGAAGAATGTGTTAAGTATTAATGCATCTCACGCATTAAAACAACAAACTCACACATAATTTTGCAGAAAAAGTATAAAATTTTATATATATATATATATATATTAAGCTATAATGTTGAATTAATACATGCCATCTTCACTCCTATTTGCTATCTAATTATACTGCATCCAATAATCTACTGGATAGGGGCATGTAATTTCAGAAGGACTATTTAATTTTTTTGGCGTCTAATTCTATTTTCAAAATTAATTCTAGAAATAACTGTAACTAAAGCGTCGATTGCTTTCTTGAAAATATATCCCAAATTTTTCTGTCTATTGCTTTTTCTTCGACGATGCTATCGATCATATTTCAATATCTCAGAGATATAAGACACTATGTCACTTTTACCTAACTTTACAGGAGAACAGTTTTTATATACTTAACTGTCTTCGTCCGTAATTTTCTTGTCTGTTAATGAGATGTTTGTAATAAAATTTTTCCACAATACTATTTTGACATTAGGTTCATGTTGGTTTTAATTTTGTGCCATTTATATGGTTATTAACAAATTTTGATGAACGTAGTGCTGTATATCTGTGCCCGTATCCCAGAGGTAAACTATTTCATTCTATTGTTTGATAGTTTTTCTTCAAAATGTATTAGTTTGTTAGCTCGTAATATGGCTGAACGTTATAGATCTCATAAGTATTTAATAAGAAGAGAAAATACAGGAATTGAAAGTAGGTTATCTGCAAATAAGATTCTTGTTTCCTTTCTAACATCGTCAATCAGCTGTTCAAAGGTATCACATAAGAACAATGTGTGAATGTATAAAAATGCGCCTTATGGGAGAAGCAACATTTACTCCTTCAGGGGCCTGTTGTAAAAAAATCAAGATGCCTTAGAATGTTGATAAAGAAATATGTTTTACATTATGGAGAGAAAGAATGTCGACTTCTTTTGTTTTGAGCAGAACAGTAACTGTTTACTAGAGTTAGAATTTTAAATGCATTTGAATGACCATGGGTAATAATTCAATTTTCTTTTTCAGGACCATTAATCTAAAGCCTTGAGGTGTTCGCGCGAGCTGATGACGTCAGTTTCTTCGATTCGGCCTATCTACGTCGCCTCGTCCGCTTCGATAAGGATCGCTGCAAACGCTCTGCGTTCCAAAGATAAGCAATATAAAACGCCTATCAGGGGCCCCCTGGAAGTGGGTTTGACTAATATTGATCTTCCACTCATCAAGGTAAGATCTCGGGGCCTCTGGCCCAATAGATGATACTTTTAAAACGCCTCATGTAGTGGATTTTTGCGTTTTGTTTCGCCCGGAGGGGCGATGTGGAGCAATGACAAATATATTCGCCTTTCATAGTTGGGGGCTTGGTTCCTTCTCCGACCTATTTACGAGGGTTCCATCCCCGATCTTTTCGTTATGGTTGACAAAATGAGCTCTCGGTAGGTTTTCTCTTGAATCTGTATCCCCTGCCTCACATTCTACCATTTCACCCTAATTCATCTTACCTCATCTTACATCATTATCACCTCATGAGACCATCGCACGTGAACCTCAATGTCCTCAGAAACTGGAGACCCTGAACTTCAACCAATCAATCAATCAATAATAAATAAATAAATAAATAAATAAATAAATAAATAAATAAATAAATAAATAAAATAAATAAAAATAAATTGATCAATCAATCAATCCTGCTTTGAACTCGCGGTACTTGCAGAAGAATCCAAGTATGAGGAGTAAGTGGTTGGGGATCGTGTGTGATTAGTGCCGGGAACGTCATATTCCATTGTCATTAGTCCCTTAAGTGTAATGAATGGTATATCCTGGATGGTGTTCCTTCGCCACTAGAGCGAGATATCCAGCGCCGACCTACACGGTGACTTGCTGCGTTTGTCCATTACCAGGTTTTTCCCCAAGCAGGGCACCACCCCGGCTGGATCAAATGACCAAGCACCCGACTGCTCTTCCAACATAGTACAGTAGTGTATATGTGCTGAGAATATTTTCCATGGAAACATTTGGAGCCGTTTTTAATAAAATGTCATTTAAGTATAAGAGAAAATGCGAAAGTTGCGAGTGTTTTTTTACAGAAATCTTTGGAGTTTTTGAGAAACTTCATTAGACGTCATTTGAAGCACTTCCACTCACAAATGCAATAATGCAAACAAATTGCAGGAAATGTGCTTAGTAATGGCATGAGAGATATTTCAAAAAAATATATTTGAGTAATATTTAAAAAACAAAAGAATGCAGCAAAACGGCTTTTAGATGTCTTATTTAGTGCATTTAGCACTAACGAAACAGAAGTTAGAAAAAAAATTGGAGCCGTTTTTAAGAAAACGGCGTTTATGCGTTTCTGGAAATGCGGAATTTCTAGCTCATTTTCTCAGAAAAAGTTTTGAGTTTTCGAGAAACGTCATAAGATATCATTCAAAGCACATGTACTTTTAAAAGCAATAATGCAAATAAAGCGCAACTAATGTAAATATTATCAACGTGAGAGAGATGTCAAAAAAATACACTAATGTAATTTTTGAAAAAACAAAATAGGAAAAATGGCTTCTACGTCGCCAATCGATGTCGTCAGGAGGTTACTGTTAAATACATCCCAAATTTAAAGAATGATTTTCAATATCGCAGAGCTTCGAGTGGGACCAGATTGGCCGTGGAGTATTCAGTTTGGCAACAATCCTACTCATAGTTCAGGCGCTGGTATTGTTCACAGACGACAGACAGACCAACGGACAGACGGGCGGACGGACGGACGGACGGAAAATAAAACCTTTTTCGGTTTCAGAGGACCCCCAAAACGTGTAATTCCGTTGAAATCTCGAAATCCATTTTTGGCAGCATTACATAACTTTATATATAATAACTTTATCTCCATATACGAGAAAGTAATAAGGATAATTTAATTTTCTAACGGATATGTTATGCACTATATTTAATGTAATATACTACTAATGTTAGAAAATGTAGAAAATCATTAGTTATTCTGTTTTCTTCTATTTCATTAATTGTTTAAAATACTGGAGTGAATCTGTCCAAACACTCGTGAATTGAAGTTGGCTCATGATGTAGAAGGATTCGCTTATCCAGACTCTTTATTGTGAAACGATCGACTACGAAATATATGGCTCTATCTTTCCGTCATTTTATCAGTGCTCTTACGTGTAAAGCCTTTGCATCCTTGGATATCATATCGTCTTTCATTCTCAATGGGGCTATATGATCGTGATACGTTTTGGTCAAACGTACTTGAAATAGATTTTTGTCGATGTGTGAAATTTACGAATTTATAACATTAAAATGTTTTTGCTTTTCTTACATTTATTTTCGTAATCAGTAAATTGTATTGCCTGCTTGATATTGTTTGTGCTCTATTTAATCGTGCAATATATTGTGTAATTGATATAATGCTACTTTTCGTATAATGATCGTTTTATCATGATGGAAATGAATGATATGTATTTGGCAATAACTTCTTTCTGCAGGCAACACCATTGAAAATCACTACCAATGGTTCTAAGGAAACAACAATTATTCGGTTGCTTGTTCATAGAACGTAGTACATTGTAGTTGCAAATTTGGACTATAGCCATTCTAATTGGAAATATTTCTTCTACATCTCCTTGAAATTAAACTGAATTTCAAAGGTGACATGTCGAAGTTTTTAACCATAATTTGGAGGCACGCTGCATTCAGTATTACATTATATCTTTTAATTGGACAAAGAATAGGACGAGTGGATGTTTATTCGACCTTTATAAATAAAGCATATTAAACTAGTGGAGCTAAAACAGCACGTAATTGCTCGCTCGTACGTTCACGCAAAATTACATACAAAGTACTCAAATATTCGAATAATTATACCTGACCTTATTTCAAAATTAATCTTTAAGGAACAGATTTCATAAAAGGAAACAATCTCTAATTTCATAATTGTAGTTGTAGGAAAGTTGTAGGAAGTTCCCGAAAATTTTGGAAATTGTGCCGTTTTCGAAAAATCTGAGTTTTTAACGAACATGAGACGTGCACCATTCTCTTAAACGTCCTTTACACTATTCAACAACAAGATTTAATAAAAAACAATGGTATCATTTGTTCGAAAATTTTGAAAAGGTCTCAGAGGCTTTCTGTAAAGTACCCCCTAAAATTAATATATCGGTATTAAATTCAAGGGGCCGCCATACCAGCCAGATCGACAAAAGAATATCAATTTGGGAGAAAATCGGCTGAACGGTTTAACCACTAACGTTTTTCTCAGACGGACAGACAGGTTTGCCGTAATTCAATTTTTCGGTATCAAGATCCCACAAAACTTGGAGTATAGTATCATGTGTTTGGGGATTTCTTTTCTAAATTTAGCAACTGGATTTATCCACTTTTTCGTTCCTAGGGCTCTGTAATAAGAGTTTTTCTGCCGTAAATTCCTTTTTCGTTTATTCGCGCATTACATAACTTTCTCTCTACTGCGTAAGCGGTAGCGAGAAAGTAAACATATGGGTATGAATTATGAGTGCGCTGGCGAATGGGTACCCAAATGGGCGGCCCATTTGACGTGCCGTTTGATCCAATGCTTATCTGTGGGCCGCGGAAGTGGCCCGCTGCTTATTATCCACGGGAGCGGGGGGACGCTCGGGGGCGATCGGCTCAATCTAGTGACAGGAGAGAGGCACGCGGGTCACTGGAGCTGGTCACTCCAGGCTGCCTGGCTCACTTCTTGAATTTGAGCAGCAGTGAGTTAGTGTGTGCAATCGTAGTTGCCGGACCGCAACTAAAAGCAAGATGTCTTGTGTTCGAGCTCTGACGATAAACGCAGACTCTCGGCGCTACTAACAGAAAATAGATACTACTGGGTGGTCACTGCCCACAAGGAAGTAATGGAAATTATAGAAACTTGACCACCCACTTCAGTGCAGTTTTTCGCTCTCTTGGCAGTTGTGTTCATTTTCACGGAGCTGGGATAAGGTTTTAAAAGAACTGATTTCAGATCGTTGATCATACTGGTAACCATAATTCGATTAATTCTTCGCTGGAGTTAACTTTTTCTCTCTAAACTTTACGTTTTACTTTCTCGCACTTACTTCGTAAGAAGATAAACTTATGTAATCATGCACCGAAAACTGGCGAATTTTAGGTAGAAAATCTATTATTGTCAGGCTCTGATGGGGGCTCTGTCGGGAACCAGTGGTGCTACAGAATGGCACAGACTTTCCCGTATTAGTTTTCTATTTCCATTGGTCTCAGCTAGCTATTTGGTCTTGCCACATACAAATCTTGTTTTTATATTTTTTTTAAATTTCACATATTGCTCGCAATATTGCGCGAAAACTTTTTGTGTAATTTGGGCTTGAAATTAATGCAATTTCAAAAAAAAAATTTCTCAAAAACTGCTCAAAATTTTATTTTTACGTTTTTTCCTCTTGATAAAAAATAGGGATGCTTCAAAGAATGTCGCGGGTCTCATTTGTGTTGAACTCTCTTAATTTTCGAACATATTACGAGAAAGTATGTGCTGTTGGAGCACCACTAATTTCCATTCTTCCATTTTTGTACTATTTATTTTTGCGTACCATTAAAATATTTCAAAATCTGTAACAGCATACCAATTGACAATTTTGTTTTGTGATTGTTGTGAATGTTTGTATAACCTTTTCTAATAGGAATAGTCCCGAAATATTCCACACTACTTTTAAAGTATTTTCTATTACTCAAAAAATTCGGTACTTTGAAATGATTAATATCGGTTAAAAATATTGTGTGCATCGTAAAAACTACGACCCTGTGTTAAAGCTCAAATCTCAAAATTATTATTTGACCGAATTTTGTTTCATGAAAACGACTGTTCTGATCATCGGGCACTCGTTTTCAATCCGTGCGTTACTAAACGTGCTTGCAAAACACCAATGCCTCTTCACCGACCTAATTATGCCATAATTAACAATGCAGAACAACTCTTTGTATGCCGAATTTTCCTGTTCTCACATGATGTGATGTAATAAAAAATCTCAGCACGTAAGAAGGACCGGTTGATCACAAAGCTGTCATTAGCTTACTTCCCGGTACTTACTCGTATATGTAGGTGAAGCGATGAATACTTGAGGTAGGAATGGGCTCGGATATGATCATTCTCTTACAGTATCTTACAAATGGGGACAAATTAAAAGGAAAGCAACATTTGAGTAACTGACCCATTTTCTATATACTTAATAGATATTCGAATCTGTGGAATTTGAATTGTTCTGCATTTCAGTGCCTGATAATAGAAACAACTCTCAATTGGAAATTAGGGCTGGGGATTTGAAAAAAAAAAGTACTTGAACTTTTAACTATTTCATTAAAATAATAATTTACACCACTCTGCTCTTCTTTTATTATACAAATAACTAATTATGGATATAGTTTCTTATATTATACCGTATATTACAATCTACGAATATACTGTGTCGTCGTTGGCAGGGGCAGGGGCGTGTCTTGTGTGTTCGTGTCCTTCGCCGCTGGGCGTGGCGCGTCTGTCTTCGTCCGGGGGGCCGAGGTCCGGGCCGTGGCCGGGGGCGGGCCGGGCGCCGGGGCCGGGCGGGGCGGCACGCGCGCGGCGCAGGAACGCCGGGATGGCGGCGTCCACGCCGATGGGCCGGTTGTCGTCGAAGCTCAGGTCCTTGGTGACGAGCGGGACGCGCGCGTCGGCCACCCGCACCACGCGCACCGGCGGCGCGGGCGAGAGCGAGGGCGAGGGCGAGGGTGGGGGCGAGGGCGAGGGTGAGGACGAGGGCGAGTGCGAGGGTGAGGGCGAAGGCGAGGGCGAGGGCGAAGGCGAAGGCGGCGAGGCCAGCGACGACAATGTCGCGGGCGGCGGCGAAGAGCAGAGGGGCCCGCGGGTGGACCCAAACTCCCCGTTTTCCTCGCTGCTGCAGTCGGCCAGTATGCCGCTCGACGAGCTTCCGCCCTGCTCGACGCGTTCAGCTTCTAACGCGTCTTGACTGCGAGTGGAAAACAGCAGATTAGTATTAATCTCACACGGAAGGGACGTGACTGAAAGGAATCTTGATCGAAATGAAACCGAATTTAAAAGACCTAAAACCATTGATAACAAAACACGACGTGCCATTGTCAACGGAATTAATTCATGACTTTCTATTTCTAAAAATCCTTCAATTTTCACAATTAAATTGGACACTTATTATGTAGGCAGATGACACTCAAAGTAACTAAAGAATAGAATCAATCAGCTTTGGTAGTGAATTTGAATTGCGTTTATACATTATAAAGTTAGTTTGTTTTTGTGACGTCCATGGACGAATCACAAGATTTAGAGCGATTACCCAGATCACTAAGGCGGCATCAGGTGCGAGATAACGACAGGTAACAACGGTGGAGAAATTTAGAAATGGATTTTGCGCTCAAAATGTGGAACTGTCACAATTTGTGAATCCAATATCAAATCATTGGTATCTCATTACGAGAAATATTTGAAACGGAGGAGAGTTAAATGAGCGTTATCAATAACAGAGGATTATAGACAAGAATTTCTGTTGGAAGCCATAGTTGCCTTGAGACCTGCCTTCAGACATTGCGAGCATGCGTTCGTATTAAGGCCAAATCAGGATACATTAAATATGTGAGTTAACGGGTGTATAATGGCTTTAAGTCTTTAACATATAATCCGTAAATTCATCTAAACTGGTCGAATATTTATTTTTTAGTGTAATGATTATTTTGAGAATTTCATTGGAAGTTTCGAAATCGAAAATGTGTCTAACATTTTTGTAGAAACGTCTGATGTTGAAGTTTGTGGATGAAGATCCTTAGTGAGATCGGCAGCAATTCTCGAAAAGTGTTGGGTTTAAGAGGCTAGCCACTGTTGCTGGATCGTTCACATTTCTATCGTTATCTTTTCAAACATTATCTGCAAGGTTTCCATTTGATTTGGTCGAATTACTTACTACTACTATAAATTAAATAATATTGTATATGAAATAATTATATAAAATAATTATAAATATAAAAAAATAATTATATAACATTTTATAAAGATTGACGTTCCTTCCACAAATATGAAGACAGACACTCATTGATTAAATTATATTTCTACACAATTAATACTCGTTACAAATTCTGTATACAATTAAAGGGCAGTTATAAAATGCACACGATCACGCTAGAATGACAATTATATTCCAATCATGAACATGACGAATGATTCTAAGGAACATTCGTGGCCAATACTCATTGAATCCACTGAAATAGATCAGGGCAAGAGCTGCAGCGTCTCTGACCGAGATATTCTAGGATTCGAGTGCTGGGGTGGTGGATACTAGCTACATAAGTCGCTCTCAGCCGCTGTCTGGAGGAGAATTCTTGTGACCGGCTGCTCTATAAGGCAGCTTTCCGTGATTTTTGTGATCCTTAAAAGGCGAATACTGGAACATAATGCTAACAAACAGGCAATGTCTTTCCGCTATCTTTTCTTCCTTACTTTTGCTTCTTCCTCTCCTCTTACATACACACACACACACAGACACTCACTTCCACTAACATGCATTATGTAGATTACTGCACAGGTCGGTTGTCTCATGTTTCAGCTCACGTTCACGCTTACATCCACTTTGTAAATGATTCCGTAAACTAATATAGCCACAACCGCTTGCATTAACGATACGTTTACGTTTATACCGTTCAGGGTGTAGCGCACTGACTTCGCATTAAGGAAAAACAGGTTAAATGCCCATGCTATCTATCCTGGCCAGGGTTTTCGTCCAGTCATTCAGGCAAATGCCGTGATGGTTCTGCTGAAAGGCCCTTTAAGAAACATATATAGTGGCTAAATACAAATACGTTTACATTATTCAATTGTGAATGAGCCTTTAATTTTTCAACAAATCATCCCCCCTTTACGAACGGACGCGGGGGCAGTGCGCATCAACTCACAACGAGCGACGTCGGCGATCGCAGGGCGAGTCCGGGTCCTCCTCGGTACCATCGGAGTCGAATACATCCGCGGACTCGTCACTGCTGTCGCGAGGGGCGTGTCCCCACGAGTTGGTGAACCACTTGTCTCCGCCGTTGGCTTCCCTGGCGGCCCCGCGGCGCCTTCAACCAGCACAGCGCACATTGCAACACTCGCACTCCCCCATCCCGTATGTATGCATGTGTGTACTTGGCTCGACAGCCCGTGAAGTAAGATTCGTCTGTGTTGAATTTTATTCTTCACTTTTTATTGTTTTTCTGTTTGCAATCCACGCAGAAACAATTTTCACAGTTGCTTAACATACATTTAATGACAAATTTTACAAATTACGTGTTTAAATTTCACCTCTTGGAAAACCTCCTAATAATATACTATTCTGATCTTGAAACATTGAAGAGATTATATGCCTGACTTGATTTTCTTTAAAAGAACAAAAAGAACTTGGAACAAATGATAGACGATATTCTGAGTATGAAATAGTACATTTAGAGCATTTTCAGACATACAAGTATTGTATAACAGATGGCCTACTGTAAATGAAGTAAAGTAGAGAAAATAATAATGCAGAGAGAAATGGAGAAAGGAACAATGATGACTTCCAAAAAGTTGTTGGAATTTGCGAAAGATGAATATGGAAGATGAATTTGGTGGAAGAGGGGGATTTTGAATTTGCCGATTGGTGATGTAATGGCTTTCTCAATGGGAAACACTACGAAGGAAAGGAACGATTATAGTCAATTTTTGATTTTTTAACATCTTATTTATTCAAAATGTTGGTACATTCCTAATTTGTACGCACATTATACAAACTTGAATAAAAAATTGCGAAAGACTGTCGCCTGAGGTCTGAAAAGCTGAGAAAATCTAATATGTCATCGATCTAATAATATTATAATATACTGGAAAGATTTAATTGCGAGTTTTTGAACACACAGAAGCATTGCGATAGGTTTGCAGTGACAGTACCACTGTAGATTCTATGCTTAATGCATGAAAAAACAGATGAACTGATTGGGCTTTGTGAACAACGTTGGTTTCCTAGAAAACAATGTCTATGTGAAGGAATTATTGAATAAAATAGTAACTTTATATACATTTTACTTTCTCGCCCTTTTTATATTGACATACAAAATAGGATCAAATAGCTTATACTTGTTTGGTGAATTATGTTTTCATGTTGATGTTTTATTTTGCTAATTCCTTATTTTTAATTTCGCAACATTAAATAGAGTATTTTAATACTTTATCTTAATGCTATCGTTTGAACAAGTGAAATTATAAAATAATGTATATGGCGATAAAAAAAAATCAAGACACCATCCACCGCTTAACCCTTCCGCTTCTCTCCAGCTATTCTATACTTCTGCCAGTCAATGACGCCACTCATGTTTGACAGGCAGATGTGACGTGAAGAAGATCGTAACATTTGTACATAATTTGAAATCTCCTAATTGTTCGCACTTCTTTAAGTAACTAAACTCGTCCTTGGAAGCAGCGAAAGGGTTAGGGCCGTGAGCTATGGCCGCTGGTCACTCACGAGGAACGCTCCCTCGCTGCACTCAACGCTTCCTGCTGACGACCAGGGCGCGCTCTGGGAACGGCCAGCAACTCCGACTGCCCGATCACCGGCTCCAGGTCGCCCGTGCCATCCTGCGAACCAGCGGCCCTCAGTCCCCAATCTTCAGCCCTCGGTTCTCGTCTCAGTTCTCACCCTTTGCCTCAGCTCTCCACCCAGCTCCTGCCTTAGCCCTCGTCCTTCTCTCTCAGTCGGTACTTCATACTCCAACCCCCGTCCTCAGCCTCAGGTCCTCAGTTCTCGCCCTCACTTCACAATCCTCGCCTTCAGTCTGTAATCCCCGCCTTCAGACTATAGACCACGCTCTCAGCATTCAATCCTTATTACTCCTCCAGCTCGCACATGTGCAAACGACGACTACGATTCGTAAGCAATGTTTCACTTATATTGCCCTTTACGTGCACAATTGCGCCCACATCCACACCAAAAGAAGTTACGATGATCTCACAATACTCACGTAACTGTCCGATTTGTTACGAAGAAGTAAAGTAGATATTCTTTTATTATCAGACTTCTAAAGGATCAAGATATACTATAATGTATCGTGTATTTTTTGTTTCAGTCATAACTTAACCCACATCATCCCCAATTTAAATGATTTCCATTAAGGGATATAACCTCCCTTGAATACTAAGTTAATTTAGTATCCTATTAATGACATCAAAATGTATAATAAATAATAAACTGGTGCAACCCCATGCAAACAACATATAAGGCACACGGACCTAAATCGTACGCGTTTCCAAAGTAGATATTACCTGATAGTTTTGTCTTGACTTCAATTCGTGTTAATTTCAAAACGATCTTTTACTTTTCGCATTAATTTATATGAAACTCATACTATTTATTAAAGTTATATCAAAATTAGTTTCTAATTTTCTCTTTGAATATCTTGCTAAAGTAGTTCAAAGTGGCTTAATCAAACCATCTAACCCTCGCGAGAATATCATGGAAATTTTTGCTTGAATTCTTAAAATATTCATTCTGTTTCGTAAAAATCATTCATTTAATTGTACTCCCGATATAAGTAGGCTTAAATCGATCTAAATGTTAGATCAAAGCTTTCACCGTGAAACAGAGGGGTTTCAAAAAGTTTTGCAAGTGAAGCCTGCAGTGCTGAACAACAATGAGCATCGTGTTTGCATTATTGTGGATGAATTCTGTGAATATTCTGCTATAAATTCATGTGTCAGTACAAGTTAAAACCTGTCTGAATGAACGTGGCCTGAGAAATTAGTGTTCTGACCTTATCTGCTGTACAAACAAAGATCAAAGAACCACGCTCGATTTTTACATTTTCACACACCACAAGCTAGGTGAAAGGGTTAAGAAAAACCGTGACGACTTGAAAGCAATTCATGTGGGCCAAGTTTGCTCATTTGACATCATTGGCAGATGGAGTTGTGTATTTGGTCATGAAAGGGAGGGCTGAAAGATGACCCTCGTTTTGGTTGACTTCGGAAAGCTGTGAACGAGTGAACAATTCAACGTGTGAGACTGTTAGAGGGAAAATCGACATGTCACTTTGGAAATGGTGAAGAAATACTTTTGGGAGAAAAAGTTTCTCATTCTCTCACCGAGGAACAGAATATGAGAAAGAAGGATTGTGTGGTGAGATTGCTGGCTATGTTTCAACCAAAAGACCGGATAGGCATATTTAAAGGGGATGAAAGTTGGTTTTACTACATCGAGCCGAACGAAACCCATTACTGTGAGAGGGTGATTGAAAAAAACGAACACCAGTCGTTCTTCGACATGGTTTAACGAAAGCGGCTTTTCACAATTCTCTTCAGCTACGAAGGACAATTGGTGATTGATTGTATGCCGGAAGGTTAGACTATGAATGGAACATACTCTGGTACAGTTGTCTTGTACGCATTATTCAAAGAATAGAAACAAAGTCGTCCAAAGACAAGAATTTCTAGAGTGCTGCTTTGGCATAACAATTCATCTGCTCACAGAACATGTGCAATTGTGCAGAAATTAAAAGAAGAAAAGGTCTAAGTTCTTGAACATCCACCCAGTCCTGACCTTGCACCTAGCGATTTCTGGTTGTTCCTTCAGACATCGCTGGAAAGCCCTTTAAATGTGTGCAGGACCTCTCTCAAGGTATAAATTCAGCTCTACTAACAATATCTCTGTCGGAGAATTGCTGTGCTTTCGACAAATGGTTGCAGGGCATCCAACAACGTGTTCAGTACAATGAGGAGTAATTTCAAGGATTATGAAGGTAAGAACTCTAATACATGTTATAATGTGGATTTTATTAGGTCACTTGCAAAACTTTTTGAATCCCTGCACTCGCGTGGAGTATTTGGAAAGTTACAAACCTGTACAACCGTGCCGTTAAACATTACATCTGCTTGCAATATTGATGGATCCAGCAGCCATTGCAGAGCTTCTGCAGGGCTCTTTGATTGTAAAAAGTTTTTAGAATCAAAGTAACCGTCTTCCTCAGCACAAATGCTGCGTCCCAAATGTTGTACCTTTTCATCCTCTATGGCAGCTGAAATATGAATGAATTGTGTGAAAATTTGATTGAGGAACATTAACTCGATACGAACTTGACAGATTTGGTTTGTATCTTGAGAATTAAAAAAATAAATTGTTAAGATAATTCTTAAAATTTAAGTGGATTTTTGCTTGTTTTATGCGCTACTAAACAGACACACTAACAAAGTAGGAAGAGATGCTCAAATAAGGATTACTTGCGAGTTTGAAAAATGACGTTAGACATTTCAAAATAACACATTTTCTAATCTGATCTTGTTCAAAAGACAGGGACTTTGTTTTACAGGTCTACTTGCATTTGCGTAGTAACAGTGGATCACATCTAGTTGAACAATTCCATCTAAAAGGAAATTATTATTATTATTATTATTATTATTATTATTATTATTATTATTATTATTATTATTATTACCATTATATAGGATAGAACAAGTGATAACACTCCTTAAATATCCTCAACCGTGCATTGAAGCATTTCTATTGAAGCGGCGATTTTCCATTCTCCTTTCCTTCTAACTAAATGGGGAACTTCACAACTCCGTCCTTCAGACAAATGCGATCCTTTATTTCAGCACAGTAACAACTACATTTTTCGATAGTAATTTTTCCGAAAGATGACTTCGTTCAATGAAGACACAAATGCTTCATACAGGGTTCTTGTATGTGACGGTAAGTTACAAATAAATTATAATTAATAAGATATTGTTCATTTGTTTTTGTATTTTTTAAAATTTAAAACAATATGTTGAACCAGTTGTCAAAATAACACAATAGTATTTCAGTGACAAAAAAAGAACTTTCAAATAAATGAGAGCGTTTGAAGGACGGAGTTGCGAAGTTCTCCATTTAGAAGGAAAGGTCGAAAGCACAATCACCGCTTCAATGCAAAAATACGTTACAAAAACACATCAATTTATACAAAACTAATCGCATAAATTCGAAGATGTACATGTATTTGAAATAATTTTTTTAATCCCATTACAATACATTAAAATTTATCATAGGGTTCCATTTATAAACTCAAAGTCGACCTTAAATCATCGCAGTAAAAAATAGTGCAAAGACGATGTAATCTTGTGATGAAGTAGCCCCTGTTTATGCAATTGTCTGTCTAAACGGCATCTTCGTATCTTGCACAGTTGAGGAGATGCAAGGGTGATATCACATAGTTGTTCCACTCTGTATATTGTGATAATATTGTTAATTTCGTTTGCGCGCAGAAATTGAGACAAAACTAAGCAATCTATGGCAATGTAAGGGGTGTCAATTGTTTCGTTACTTACTCAGAACCTTGGAAAAAATACAAATTGAATTAACTAGTTTAGATTTTCACTGAAAATGCAAATAAGCGAAACCTCATTCAAAATACTGCTTTGCGCTCGTCTAGGTGTGTCTGGCGGGTTGCAGCTCCTGTATTACTAATTTGTAGCCTCTGTATTACTAATTTTAATGCGCACAGAATTTGAAAGAAAACTAAGCAGGAATAATAATAATTGTCCACTTTTCTGTCTCGGAAACCTAAAATGCTAATTTTTCTCCGCAGTCATAACTTTCTCTGTATTATATATCTAGTAAGGAAGAATGAAAAAATGAAAGATGTGTGTTTTTAAAAATCTCTCGCTCTGTTTGGTTAGAAATGACGTCTGAGTGTTGGTAGGATAGAAATTGCAATATTATAACATTACGTAATCGTCACTGTTTATACATGCTAATTTCTACTGTTTGAACACCACTAGTTTGGTCTAGTTGAATTAATGGGTTTACAACTTGCTTTATGATACTGAAGTGGCATCTAGTCACAGGAGTCTGAATGCACCCCAAGGGAGTTAACGTAAAGAACAGATTTTATAATTGATCAATATTATCTTGACCACATTATCAACTGTATATTTATTATGTTTGATATTAATTGTAATATTAGAGCATTGAAGTTCTGTAAGTTGACACAGTAATCAAAATTCATGTCTTGTACTTTGCAATGGAGATACATTGCAATCTACCACGAAGCCATTTTGTCTAATAATTTTTAGGGGTAATTTTTGAGACGCGTCGGTGCGGAAAGAGAGCAAAGTAAAATTATACCTGCGAGCGCACGGGTCGCCTTATTGATGGTCTCAGGGAGGTGGCGAATGGGTCTGGCTGCGGCAGTTGCTGTGGGGACAACCTCGGGGTCCGGTGGACATCCAGCATGCATCTGCCCTGTAAAGTATCACCCCCATAATCTTGCAGGTCCATAAAGCTGATTAAACACATAGGTGAAAAATCAACGACTTTCTTGGCGAAAAGAATCTTTTTACACTTATACAATACTAGAATTGATTTAAAAACCTCTTATTTGGAGTCTTCATCGTAAATTCGCAGTAGTAAAGCAATAAAACCTTTAGGGGAAATGAAAGCATGGGAATTTACTACCGAGAGACAAATGTTTTACATATGTAATCTATTATTTTTAAAATATTACAGCTAAAAGTAAAGGAAAGTATCCAAACCCGGACCCTGTTCCTAATACTAGGCCCTTGATTTACGATGCCCTTGATTTAGAGTGCTGTTGCCTATTCGAAACGTACTAAAATAGAAGTTCTTTGCAAGACTGCATCCCAGGCAAGCGGTAATGTCTTCATGTGTTGCCGGACAGGCGGCTTTTAGTGCGATTAGTGAAAAGCAAGGTTTTTGTTCTAGTGCTTATTCTCAGTTACATGATTTTGCTACTTCATCTGTAAGTCTTCTGTAAACAATTACATTATTGTGAAGGGGACATTACAAGGTATTGATGCAGGGTAATTACTTTATTTTACTTGTCTTGTAAAAACGTTATTGGTATTTATAATTTAAACACGCTAACCCGAGCCACTCAAAGGTTCTTAACGCGGGCCCCCAATTTTCCGTCTTATAAAATAAAAAAAATTAAGGTATTTGGCACTCCTCATACCTGAGAAGTCTAATAAAAAGCAAGAGACTACTCTGAAGTCTTTTATTTGGATAGGACAGAAAGAAGAAAGAGGTCAAGAGAGAATTTCAGAATTTAATCCCAGAGAAGTCAAAAAGAGAGATTTAAGAGAAATCTGAATTTAAACAAAAAGCAAAAGGAAGATTCCACCTTCCGCGAGAAATCGAACGACATGTCCTCCAGATCTTCCTAATTGTCAGTTATACCAGGGATATCTTCCCTCACAGATGAAGATGCAGAGTGCATGTTTAGAAATATAAATGTTCAAGTATCTGTTAAAGAACTGCGGATGATGAGCCTAATGTGTTCACTTTGGGCTCGTGCAGAATGTGCGGGGACAGAAAAAGCTGATTATTTCTGGCTTTTGTCGCACTTGAATATATAGACAACGTGCAAGACATATAAGACAATTCCTTATCTATAAGATGTTAAACTTGTATATTTGTAATTTTTTTTCATTGAGTTCTACCCATTCTTAGAACTTTTGCCTAGAACTAGAATTTTGTTTGTAAGTTCCCAAAGTGTAATGTTAACGAAAAAAAAATGTATTCTTAACTACTTGGCCAATAGTTTTGAGTATAATAGAACATTTGTATAACTACGTAAGGTATACATTGCCAATATTTTGATTTAATTGCACAGAAAATTGGATTTAAAAATATTCGAAAACCAAATAGATTTCCAGGGTTTAGATACTTTCCTCTACTATTATTTTAAAAGAAATTGTTGCACTGCCATTGACTAGTTTGGAGGACTTAGAATAAGAACCGCACGAGGAGAAAATTGGATCTAAGAAAAAAATATGAAAACTATGGCGTTCTAAAACAAAATACAAATGAACTCCTTGCTTCCGTATTTTCTCTTCCTATTTCTTTGAAGTTTTGTAATACATGGATTTCATTATTAAAAGTTTGGGAAAATGAGGCTAGCGTAAGTCTAAGCGCTGGATCACCTGGCAGAACACCGCCTCTGCCTAAGCGGGATAGGGCGGCTTTAGAAGGTGCGACGGCGCAGGCAGCAGTCGGCGAGACCGAAGGGACGACGGTCTGGAAGGCGGGGCGCCGCAAGGAGGGAGCGACCGGTGTCTGCACGCCCCCTCCGCCGGGGCGGCGCAACAACGCTGCATCTGGAAGCCAACAAGGAACGTTCTGCCCATCACGAGCCAGTGCAACTACTCTCCCACACAGAAGCAATATTAAACAATATTTTTCCGGATCTCATCAAGGAACTAGATGACAGCGTCAGTTGTACTTTATTGTAAAATACAATAAAAATAAACAAGGTATACCTAAGAAAATTTTAAAAAGGTAAAATTGCACGGATACAGGCGATTTTTCAGGACAAAAATTACGGTAGTAAAGAATCTGCCTAAAGGGAAACGAAGAACAAATAGGGTATGCACAAACAAGGAACGAAAGAGAGAATGTGATAATTGTCTAAAACAGTTTTAAACGAACTAGTTAATGCAAAAATCACGTTAATTATTTCCGTAAAATCATGTTTATTTTAAAAAAAGAAAAATATATTTTCGTAAACAATATTTTTCTTAAGTGAAATAAAAGTAATGATTAATATATTTCAATATATAAAAAACGCATTTACGTCGAGTATTCAACCGGTGTCACAATACATTTTCTGCGATACTTACGCCGTCAATATTGTATAGAATTGTCATAACTGTCATATATATATATATATATAACTATAAAATATATAAGATTTAGAAGTAACTGCTCATGCTAAGGAAGTTGTCTTTTTTCTTTATCGAAACGAATAACAGTTTTGCCAGTACGTCGTACTTTTATAAGATTTTTTAATAATTATTGTGTAGTACAAATTACATGAAAACGAAGATATCTGGGTGTGAAAGAAGCGCGGCCGTATATCTTGATGTGATATTTAACATAGACTACGTATTTAGAAAACTATCATAATATAAGTGTCTTTATTTACAGGCGATAAAAATCGATCAATTCTATGGATTTCTGTAAAATAATATATAGTACAATGGTAGGGCGTCAGACATATACTTCCAATTAATGACTTATCATTGGTTAAAAAAACGTTTCTCAAAACAATACATGTTTAGGTGTTATATGTTCCATTTATCTTTAAATAAAAATAAAAAATATCACCATGTATACTTCTGGTGAATAATATAATTTAAATTTGCTATTCACAATATTAATATTATTTCAGCAATAAAGTGTGCAATTTTTTTAAAGCGTTGTTCTGGAATATTTCCAAATAAATAGCCCAATAATTTCCATGTGTTTCCAATAATTTATTTAATTGGAGGTAGTGGAGGATTTCCTACTTTCATTCTATTGAACATTCGTATGACTTCAACTTTGTTATGTGTAATAGTATAGAATAATATGTATAATGTGTAATAGAGTAATATGTATAATGTTTTCAACCTTCCTAATGTTTTCAATTAACATTCGAAATATTAATGTAGCACGCCAAGATAATTTTAAACACAAGTTAAATAATTGTATTGAACAGTATTTTATTTGGTGAGATCTCAATTAAGAACGACTATTATCTATTCTTCTAAATATTTCACTTGAAGCAAAGTTTAAAACATTTTTATGAGTTGTCAAAAGAAAATAGACAGCTTAAATGATTAATTATTCAAATTTGGGGAACAAAAAATTAAAACTTTTAATTGCAATATTGGAAAGACAAATGGAGAAAGGGGAATATTATTCCATTACATGAATAGTTACTATTTACAATATTGCACATTTTATTAGTATTAAATAGATTTCGTGTCATGATATTACAACTTAATTACAAAATGGCGTTTTTTATTAAAAGAAAAAGTTGGCGATACATATAGCGAGAAAAAACTTCATCGTGGTAAAATCATAGCAAGATTCTTGTTCTCAATATAAAACTTGAACTAAATAATACGTGTCATAATTACAAAGGTAAGAATACATTTCACCATACTGCAACTGTTGAAATATCTGCGAAAATACTAACGTGAAATCAAATTTGTTGTACATGAAGGTAGTTTAATGTATTTATATACATTAAAAACAACAACATTTCCTCTTTTCAAAACATCTTTTAAAAAAATTTTTACATGAAATTATTTTACTTACGTGGAATGTAAGGCATTAAGCACTCCGGTTCAGGAAAGTGCCGATCTTGGCATAATATGAGAAGTTTTAAAGACTTCCCAACATATGACTCGCGATGAATCAAGTATCAACTGATTGTTTACTCGTTTCTAAGAAAGTTGTATTTTGTAATTAGCTCATTTTCGATCAGTCATTTCATACAATTACTACCCTCCACTATACCAGAGAAAATCTTTTTCGTCCCGAACATCTTGAGTGGTTAGGATGAAATTCGTTATTTTGCAGAACATCGCTTACAGAAATTGTTTGTTACTAATTAACTTGCCCTGTAAAATATTCCCTTCTGTATTCCTTATTGATTCTCGGGAAAGAATGCCGTTAATGAATCGGACATAATTGCTGCAATGTTACAATGAAAATTCTTGTTTACTTGGTCGTTATTAGAAACCGCGTTGTATTCATTTGCCTTCGAAATACTATTTGCGTATCTTGGCAACACATAACAAATCTGACACATGAATAAAATACGACTATAGAAACGAAAACACTTATGCAATTCGCAGGTGGAATGGAGATCAAAGAAGAAATGTTCTTAAGAAGACGGTGTTTTAGCTATTCACCTGAAAAAAAAAACTAAATAAATGAAGGAGTTGGAGTACATAAAAATTATGATAGCAATATCGCACTTGTAAAATATTTTCACATCAGGTTAGTAAATGTTCCTTCTATTCGTGCAAATACAATGTACAATTACCGATATTTGGCCAATAAATTTGTGACTTCTATTTGTTTTCTTCGGTATTGAAATTTAATGATATGCGAAAGAGAAGACGGACGTAAAGTACAACAAAACACATTGCAAATTTGCTAAAGACGAATGTATTGTATGATTTTGTCAGAATTGCATAAACAAAAGTTGATTTTTTAATGTAGCTATTCTGGAGTAAAAAGAGAAAATTTACAAATTAAAATGTTCAATGTTTTGGTAGTATGTATTTTACAAGAGTAAAATAATTATTTTATATCGTTTTATTAATATGTTACGAGATAATTTGCCTTTTCTCATTGCGATGATCAATAGTACTGAGTTCATTGAATGAATGTACACGTGAAATTTAAATACATTAAAAATGAAATCATGAAAATGTCCTTGAC